GGGTGGGTGGGAGGGCACCCAAGTCTGCTGTGCCGCCCACCTCAAGGGGGAATAATTGTGAACAGTGCCCTAAAATTGGGCACCCAGGAGCCTTTGGGCCTCCAGATGCACTTACAACCTTATTCCTGATTCTTCCCTTTTCCACTCTTATTCTCCTATTTTTAATGTTTGTCACTGTGTCACATGCTCTGTGTGTGTGTGTGTCTGAAGTGCTTGCAGAATATGGCACAGCATCAGTCAGACACTCAGTCACAGGCAAACCTCCCTGGCTCGTGCTGACAGCGGCTTCCACCACGCGCCCCCACCCTTACTCCTGTCGGTGGTGCTGGTCTCGGCCCCCACATATTGGCGCTCCATAAGCTGGTACATTTGGAAATCACTACCGTGTGATGTAGCTCAGTGTTCTCAGCCATCCTGGCGTCCTTGGTGTCGTCAACCCTTCGAATGGGGCGGAATCCCAGGGGCCCCTGGGTAGTCATGTATCCCTGGGTGATGAGTGAAAATAAGGAATTCATTTTGTAGTTTGTTTTTCAAGTGTGGATTTATGAGTAATTCTTAGTAAAATCTATGGTTTAGGGCCAGTCAATTCTTAAAGTCAAAGAATTCATTTATAAAACTCGCCTTGATCTCTGTGACTTGGAGCAAATCTTACAACCTAACGGAGCCTCCTCGGTCCCCTCGTGCGCACGGCGACGCAGACACCCGTTACTGGGCTGCAGGGTGCCTGTGGGGCCCGTGAGGCCCAGGAGTGCCAGTGCTTTGTAAACCACAGAGCCCAGCTTTTCCGGGAGCCCTAGGTCACAGTAGGCTGCGGGGGTGTGGGCCCAGAACGTGCAGCTCCCAGCTGCTTGGGCACTGCCAATCAGGGGGTTCACTGGCTCTTTCTGAGGCGTCCTGCCTTTGGAGCCAGCCACAGTGAGCTAGACAGCATCGAGTTTCTAGTCCTGGTCATGCTGCTCTGCCAGGGATTGTGGGCAACTCTCTGCTCCAAGAAATGGAATCTGTCCCGGGAGAAGTTTACGTCAGCTACCTGGTGGGAACTGGGGGGTCTTGTCTGGCAACTTCGCACACACATGGCGAGCATGTGCTTTTTATTTATTTTTTAATTAAAAATTTTTTTGTTAGCTCAAAATATCTTTTTTTTATTTTTTTTTTAGATTTTATATATTTTTTACATCATTTTTCATTTTTGCACAATGTATGTATGTTCATCTTGGTTATAGTCCCAGTACAGAGCGTCTGTTTTTTAACTGAGGTTGAGCTGATTGGGGGAGGGCCCTCCTGGAGGTGAGGGGCACCGTGTGCTGACGCCCCCTTGTCCCATCCCTCATGCCCCTTCTGGTTTCCTGCCTTCCAGCCGTGCGCTCTGAAACCCACAGCAAACAAGTCTGTGTTCTCAGTCACCTACTGTTATCCTGAAAGGTGGATACTTGAAAAAGTTCTGTAGTTTCAGCCCTTAATTCTATCCTTAATTCTGTGTTCATTGATTTTGATGTTCAGAGCAGAAGTTAAAGACTTATTCTTCTTTTCACGGATATTAATTCATTCATGGAAAAAATGGGTGGCATTCCGCCCAACACCGAGAAAGGGGCATTCCTGTACGGTTCTTTGAGAGCAAATCAACCAACGTCTGTTGAGTATTCACACTCCACTTTGCGGCTGCTCTGCCTGAGCAGACCTTCCAGTGATCAGCTTTGCTGGCATTTTCTTTTTGCAAATGGTCAAGAAAGAATGAGCTCTCTTAATACAGACTTGACTTTGACCTCCGAGGGTGGACTGATTGATAAGGGTTGATCAGAACACTGGGGAAAAGTAATCAGCTCACTTTAGAGTTTCTCATACTCAAGGAGAGAAATACAAGCGTGACCAGGCACTGAGGTAGAGTTTTGAGAAAATGATTGGATACAAACCAAACGCTAGGCTCCACGTGCCTTCTCAAAGGAAAGACTATAGTGTAGAAAAGGGAACAATCTACGTGGAAGTGAGAATAGGGGAGCTGAAAAAAAAATAGACTTGATCATTGTGTCCCCAGCTTTCCCCGGGACGGACCTGGAGCAGCCGGGCTGAATGTAATCTGTCAGCAAGCCTGTTAGAGGAGGAGGCTGCTTGGGGTCTTCCAAACCCGTGACATATCAGACTTCCAGCTCTCCAGGCAACCTTCAGTCACAGCTAAACTTACTAGACAGTTTTCCTAGTGATGACTAGGCTATATGAAAACTTGGGTGTTGTTTTTTTTTCCCCCTCACTTCCAATGAGTATTTTATGAGTATTTTATCTAACAGCCTCCGATTTGGTTAGCATATGGAATTCTCTTAAGCTGAGTCAGTTTGGTACATTCATAAAAATTATTTTTAGGATCCACCAAGTAATACCATCTGCAGAGGTCATCTCTAGCTTGCATTTCTAGCAGCCAAGCTTAGGGAGTTCACTTGAAAGGAAAATGGAGAAGCTATGTATAATGGACTATAAAGAATAAACTACCATAGCTTGTTCTCGAGCAACTGACTTTATATAATTCCAATCTAAGTGCATTAGAAGCTGAATCCTTTGGTAAAATCCACTCACCCAATCTGCTGAGCTTGGGTGATTGGATATAACAGTGATAATTCTTTCGTTGAAAATGCATGTTGGTTTCTGAAAGCTGAATTTCCTGCATTGCTTATTTATTCAGCCATTGGTTGTCAGCACTATTTCGTGTAAATCATAAGCATTTTTCCACCTCTTATCTTGAGAATCAGCAAAAGAGATTAGATGGAGACAGGAGAAATTCTCAATTTACTGAAAAATCAGTGGATAGTTTTTAAAAGCCGTGTTTCCCAAATTGAGAATTTGTTTGCTAAGCCTAAAGTATCTTCCCTATTAGATTTAGACTGCTAGCAGAATTAAAGGGAAAAAATCCAAAATGACTGTTTATTGAAACTCTCAGTGAATGACCTAGAAGTAAGTTACCACCTTTAAAAGAGTCGCTTCCACACACAAGCATGTGCACACACATCACTGTAGACTAATGACAATATATATGTGCATTGCAGCCTAAAAATGTTAAATTTTCATAATCTGCAGAATCTGATATTACTAATTGATAAAGTCTAAATACAACAAGACTTTATATCAAACTAAGGGGGAGAGAACAGACCCCTCCCCATCACATAACAGGTGTATTGACTTGATGTTCAATATCAATTCTTACATCTTAGAGCAACTCTTAGCCATTCATAGGCTAAGAGGACTATAGCTAGGATTTTTTTTCTTTTGCTTTGTATTTAACAAGATTTCTTAGAACCCCAATATAGCCGAGGTTTGTTTCATGACTTAGCTGTGTGACTTTATGCAAGTCATTTATCCCTGAGCCTTAGTCTCCTCATCTGTAAAATGGGGACATTAAAAACAGCATTACCCTTGAAGTGATATGGGACATCAAATAACATCTAAAGTAAGACACATAGGACAGTGCCTGGCACTTAATAAGTATATACAGCTATTTGCCATCACACTGCACATGCTCTGTGACTTTTCCTCTTTCACTTATATTACTTTTTCATATTTTAATTATTTCTTCCAAAGATAAATCTTCCACCTATTCATTTGCAAAGTTCTCCAAGTATCTAAATCATCTGCACACAATCCATTCTTGTGCTGTTATCCTTCCCAAGTCCCTCCTGTTTGGTCTCAGTAATTTTTTTTTTTTTAAATCATCTCTGGACTCTCTCACCAGTGACTCCAGGGTGCCTCCTGACCACCTGTCACTTGCACCTCAGTTTCCCCACTGACACTTCAGGGAAAGTAGAGACATTTGCTCTGTGTCTCGCTCCCCTGCAGAAAGGTGGGCTTCATCAGGGCAGAGGCCCTGACCATTGCCCTTGCTGTGTAGCTCTATGCCCAGTGCACAGCGTGGGCCTGGGAGGTGCTCAGCACTCAGTCTAAACAGCAGCTGCAGATGGAAGGTTAAGTGGATTATCAGACTTAACCTGCACTTCCATAAAAATGACCTCTAAGAATATAGACCCTTCAGAGCACTTTTTCAAAGGAAAATAAACATTATTGCTTTTATGGTTTTAAAAGTAATCTTTAGAACAAGCTGGCTTACTACTTCATGAAAAATTTTGGATAAAAAGCTCTCCCTTCACTTAGCAAGCTGAGGTAATAGGTTCCAAATGCTTCAAAAACTAGCTCCTGCCAGAAGATCACAGGTCTCAAATCCTTCTCATTAGTCTCCCTTCTTCTTATCCGTTCTACTCCTGCAACCAAGCAAAAAATGGTGTGTGCATGTGCGTGTGTGGGAGGTGGGGGGAGGAGGCTTCTGTGGAACTTATGTTACCTTCCTTGGCTCCTAGAGTCTGTATCAAAACCTGTTTTGCATTTCCTTCCAATTAGAAAAAGTCTTCTGGCAACTTTATTCTTGCTGTGATTGTTCCTGATAGTTTTGCGTGGAAGAGCTAAAGACCTTTCTTCAGCCAATCTAGTAACTTGAAACAATATTAGAACTTGGTTTATTCCTTCAACAGTTAACTTTTGAAGGCCTGCTACATGCTACAGATGAGTCTTTAAACACTTTCCCAGAATATTTTAGCCATATTAGGATCCTTTCAAACAGTTCCATTGCAGTTTGTTCACAGCAAGCCACTTCAATCCCTTGGACAAGCACAGGTTCTAAAAAGGAACATAAACTGAGATCAAAATCATGAGGGAAAAACAACAACAACCTGACAACTGTAAATAATATCTTAAGCATCCCCAGCTGAGAAGCATAAATTCACACCCTAGTCCTCTTTATCACACACACGCCGATTGTTGAGGAAGTAGCTTTGTCTACGAGTGACTTCATCTAGCAGCGTCTCTCCTCTGTCCGGTGTTTCAGTTAAAATGTAAAAGGTCGTATTTCGTTCACTACCTCGGCTACGTCCATAATATTTAATCCAATCAGAAGACAGAATCGTAGTAGGCTTGGAACCAAGCATTATCGATTACCTCTAAGTAAACATGGTCAACTCCCTTTGCAGGTGCAAGTATTGGCATTATGATGAAAACCTGCTCACGTCCAGCGTCGTCATCGTCTTCCACAACGAAGGATGGTCCACCCTCATGAGAACAGTCCACAGTGTAATTAAAAGGACGCCAAGGAAGTATTTAGCAGAAATTGTGTTAATTGATGATTTCAGTAATAAAGGTAATGGCTGTGAGATTGATGTTTTGTCTGTAATGCAGGTTAATTATGAGTGATGGCAACAATGTGATTTCAAAAGTCTTTACAAGTTAATAGCATCTACTGTTAGCATCGAGTACCAACAGATTGGCACCATGCCATGCGTTGTGTAGGAATTATTTTGTTTAGTCCTAACAATAATCCTTGCAGTGGATGTTGTTACCATCTCTGTTTTACACACGAGGTCAAGAGTTGTTAAGTAACTTGCCAACAGTCAGAGCTGGAAGTTAATAGCTGGGTCTAAATCTACAGGCTCATGCATCTGTAAATTTCTTTATCAGATGTCTGTGTTATTGTATATGTATTTTGAAAAAAAAATTTAGTCATAGAGTTAATTGATTGAAAGACTGAAAACATGCAATTATAGGTTTATTGCAATGCCCATTGTCAAAATGAAATTAATATATTTAATAGCCTATATTTTAACGATACAAATATTGAATGATACAAATATTGAATCTGACCAGAAACCATGGACTATTTTTCTTTATAATAGGAAGTATTTACTAAAGCTTGTTTTTTGCTGTATTTTGACGTGGGGTATTGCATAACAGGAAATTGTTTTAGTTTTATTCTTTTTAAGGAACCAGCTATTACAGCACTTAGGGAGATGTTGGTTAGTCTTGATACAACTTGACAAGGGAGAGATTGAGGGCTGATTTCCCAGAGAAGTGGGTTTTTAAGTGAGCATTTTTAAAAATCCATTATTGTGAGCTGAAAATTTCTTCTTAATGACATGAATATCAAAAGCTAGGTAGTGCCGCGCTCAGGCCCCAAATCAGCATACTAAATAAAAAATGCCGAAACCCAGATCTGGAGAGTTACTTATTTTTCTCTGATATTTGCCCAAAAAGCACATATCTTCTTGTGATCGAGTAGTCAGTTTTCAGAGGTTTCAATTCAGTTTTGGGACTAAGTTTTGCAGAGAATTTTTATGAACATGTAATGAAACCCCTGAATATGAGGTTTGAAGTGAAGATGGAACATGACAACACCATTCACAATGGCTTTATAATAGCTTCTCCCAAAGCTCAATTTGAAATCCTTGCAGTCTGGACAAACCTCTGCTGTTCTTACCATGACAAGCCCAGAATCTTGATCTGCACATACATCCGGCTGGGACAGAAATGAAAATACTGTCTAGTTCCTCTTGCCCTCCACTTTGTGCAGCTAATCATTTTTTTTCCTCAACTAATCATTTTTAATTGTACTAACTACATTGTAAAAAATGCATTTTAATTGCACTACAGAATGTATAATTTAAAGGTTTTTAATACTACTGAATACATTTAGCTTAGACAGCTCTTGTTTGAATTTTCTGTGAAGGCATGTTTTCACTAAAAACACTATTCCTATCTCAACATAAATATCTGAAAAAATTTTAAAGTGATTTTGTGTTGGTCCCGATATTTTACCTTAAAAAAAAATCTAAATCTGGGCTTCCCTGGTTAAGGCTCTGCGCTCCCACTGCTACAGCCTGAGTTAGATCCTCACCCACATGGCGCAGCAGATCTCTCCTGTCTCGCCCGCTGCTCCCCTCCGCAGCGGATTTCACTAGATCCACCTGTTCTGCTCCCTACTCTGTCTCTGGTGAATCCTCTCGCCTCCCGAATCTCTGGCCTACACCCAAGTTCATCTATGCAAAAATAAATAAAATCTTTTTTAAAAATTATTTTAAAAAATCTAAATCTACAAAAATGACTTTGAGAAACCCCATGGCTATGATTTTCTTGAATTTAAGGAGCTCTATGCTACCAATATAAGTAAAAGTTCAGCTTGGCCAAAGGAAAAGAGAACAATTTTGAACTTCAGGTTTTTGTCCATTTTTCTCTCAGATTTTGTTATCAATGCTTCTGTTGCAAATCTCTAATCAGTTTCTTGTAACATATTTCAAAAACAATTGCCCATAGAGCCTGCTCAGGTTACAGCATGCAGAGATGTTTATTGGGCTCCCCCTTAAGCAGAAGTACAGAAGGTCTTTACTTAAGTTTCCTGATTTCAAAACAACCTTAAGGTCTGAGTAAAATCAGCCCACCCAGGCTAAGCTGGCACAGGTGAAATGCCACCTGGCATTCTCAGCGATTTGAGCAACTAAGGGTTGTCCTGTCCCTCACACTAGGAGCTCTGAGCTGCACCCTGTAGAGGCCAACCCCCCACCCCCAGCTTCACAGCAGGACCCAGCCTTGCAGAACAGCCTGATCTTGGACTTTCTGCCAGGTTTGCAAAGGGAAAAGAGACATCAGGAAGCACATGGGCCCTTAACCCTTCAGCTAACAAGTCCCCACTTCACATCCGCCTCATCGCCTCATCGAGAGCATCCTCCAGTGAGAGGGTGAGAGTACTTTGAGCATTAACATAGCCCTCCCTTGCGCCATAATGACTTTAGGTTTAGGTAGATTGCATGTCCCCTCAGAAAAGCACCCAATGCAATTCAAAAGGGGCTTTTTAAAAAGCTTAGGGCTGTAGCAGGCTAAAAAAACAGCAAAGTGAGAGCTCTTTAAAAATTAAATTGAAGGAAAAATTACAAAGACTTTTCAGGGGGGGAGGATTATAATTCATCATGACAATTTTATTTATAATTCTCAATTGATGCCAAAATTGAAAAAAAAATTTCCTCTCAAATTTGAATACCCATGTGTGGGTGTTTTACTAATTATAAACCCCCTAAAACCGAATAAAGTATCGAGCGCACTGTCGACTTGCCTATTTAACCTCTAGCTCACCACTAATACAGCTCTTTGTGTGCAAGTTCTGTATCATGGGCCAAAATTTTAAACAATATAAAAATAAATTTTGTGTCCCCCCCAGAACGTCGTTAGGATCCAGGATCTAGTTGTGACTGTGATGAGCCAACTTCATGGGCTCGTCGTGTGACAAGCTTCTTCACAGCTGTGGGGCCAAGATGGATACGTTGACAAGTGTGTCTTGTTTTTATAGCATAAAATTTTCTCTACCCAATGCCAACATATGTTGCCTATATTTCATGGCGTATTTATAAATTATGACATATCTATAATAGATCTATCATTATTGTATCTGAGTAGTTATAAATTTATCAATACATAAACCCACATGCATACCCGTACACTCATTGATGCTTCCAGTATAGAGAAGTAAGATCTTTTGATTGTCAGTTGCAGGCTCAATAGGAACTGTTTTCATCATGACGAAAGATGGTACAGAAACAAATGTCAGTTTAAACCCTGGTGGATCCAATGAAGTCATATAAAGTCACAAATATTTTAAGAGCTACCTGTAGTCAGGGTATCTTCAGAAATCGTGAGTCACTGCTTCTACAAAAGCAAACAGAGTATTGTGCCTGAAAGCTTTGAGATATGAAGTGAACTTCACTAGCAGGTGAACTTCTAAAATTTTCATGGCCATTGGCATTATCACTTATTTGCTATTTAGAAAGATGTTTGATAATTCTCCGTCTACCCAGCTCCATCTGTCCGTGCAAAATTAATGACTGCCCAACATACCTGTTGCCTACCTGTTTTTTTTTTTTTTAGAAAAATAATAGTTTAATTGGTTTACATACATAAATACAATTTGTAATGTTGACTGAATTGTTCTTATTCACAGAACACTTAAAAGAAAAACTCGATGACTATATTAAGCAATGGAACGGCCTAGTGAAGGTATTTAGAAATGAAAGAAGAGAAGGTTTGATTCAAGCACGAAGTATCGGTGCCCAGAAAGCTAAACTTGGACAGGTAGGAAACATTCGATGACAAGAGTCGCCTTTTTGGACTTGGTAGCTAAAAGATCAAATACGTTGTAAAGTACCCTTTAGACTTTTATTTTTTAATTGAAATTAAAATGCTGGCTTAGGTAATGTATGTGTCCAAATTGACTGTGATGCTAATTTATATTGGCATCTAGCTTTAAATTGCATATGACGTGTGATGTACCACTTATGAGATGTATTCTTTCACCCTGCCTCTTTCTTTTAAGGTGTTGATATACCTCGATGCCCACTGTGAGGTGGCAGTTAACTGGTATGCACCACTTGTAGCTCCCATATCTAAGGACAGGTAACATTATCTTGCTTTTTTTCCTTTTCATGGTAGAAAAGTAAACCTTGCCCTAGAAGAACAAATACTATTCTCATTCTTCTGGATTCCAGTGCACCGAGTGTGTTGTTTGTGTTACTGCTAGTTGCTTCTGGAGTACAGCTAGGCTGATCCCCTGAGCTGATTCAGATGTGGCCCTTCAGGCACTTGGGATAAGCCTAGGTCATCTCACTTAACAACTCAACTGTGGTTGAATGTTGAAGAGATTTCCTCTAGTCCCAAAAGCTTTCCCTAAGAGTAATACTAACTGCTTCTTCTAAACTGTAGTAACAGTTCTAAAGGCTTGAAGGATTGTGCTTCGAAATTATACCTATTGGCTTTTTTTACACCTGTTTTAATTATTACGTTATATGGTAATTACCAGCCATTACTTGTGACAAGCCTTTGGGTTCCTCCAGAAACTCCAAAGTTTAGACAGACAGCCGTTCCGTGGAAATATGGCCGTCATCATTCCATTTACAGAAATGTGAGAAACCTTGGAAGGCAGTGTCAATCTCTTGGTTCTAAAAATCCTTCCCTGCTTTTAGCTTAGAATTCTGACTCTTTCAGAGCCCAGGAAAATAAGACATGTCCTGTGGCTAATGGCATGAGTCCAAGGAAGAGCTTTGAGGGTATAATCGTCAGAGGGTTTCAGATGAAGGGCTCTTATAAACCTTTGTAATGTACTCTCTGATTTAATCCTCATAGCAACCCTGCAAGATAGATATTCTCAGCACCATTGTACTAAGAGGACACCAAGGCTGAGAGGGATTAATCTGCTCCAACCTGACAGCTAAGAAACTATCACGCCGAGATCTCTCTGGGGCATTTTACTCTACGCCATTTATTTAGAAATCTGAGAAGCATGAGAAGTGAGCAAAGATAAGGGCCCTTCACCTCTCCCTGTGAAAACTATAGCAGTCCTCTTGGTGTCCAGGAAGTGGGGACTCTGGGGTGCTGTGCAATTCCAGGGAGCCCCACATCACCCTGCATTGACCAGGCGGCGTCCACAGGCCAGAGGGAATAAAGCACTTCTCTTGAGTCCAGTTCCCCATAGAGAAAGCCTCAGCCCGGCAGGTTTCCCCTTCTCCCTGGTTTCTGAACATCTAAAAAGTGCCTTCACGTGGCTATGAAAGGCTATCATCTCCATTCTAGGAAGTGTGGTTTAAAATCCTTTCCGGTAAGATGAGCCCTGAAGCAAGCAGGCACCAGATTGCCTTGGTGATGATGACCACACATCTAGCGCACAGCACTAGCGTCCTCATGAAAGGCAAATCAAAAGACTGTTTGGGCTCCAAATTGTCACGCCATGATGTAAGCTCTCCAAGTTTTGGGGAGTTACCTTTCTTGTTTTCTTTTGAAGCAGGAATACAATACAGTGGGTCTTTTTTTTTTTTTTTTCAACAAAAGCTGTTTTTTTGCAATAAAAGGCTTAGGGAAAAAAAAACCAAGTAAAAGTACAGAAACAGATTTTCATATTAACTGCTGCCAACAGAATAGAAAACAACAAAGGGGGTGGGAGACTGCTAAGAATGTAGCAGTGATTAAGTTTTTATCTTTCTACACACACGCACACACGTACACACATACACTCATTCATCTTTTAGTGGATGGTTTAGGAGGGAAAATCTTGTCAATAATGCAGAATTACCAAGAGAAAGTTGCCATTGAACCAAAGTGAAAATGAGCAAACACTGTTAAGTTCAAGAGCCCGGCTCTCGGTCCTGACATTTGTCTGTCAACTGAGGGAAAAGTCTCCTGTGTCCTGGCATCAACCAGTGCAGATTCTTCAACTTGTAGAGAATGTTCATTTGCTTCTGTTTCTCACTAGATATTTAAGTGCCCTCGTGAAAAAAATACACACACACAAAAAAAACCAGGAAACCAAATCAACACCACAAAGAGACCATCTCGTTCGGCATGCTCGACTAGTCAGTGTTGGGTTCTTAAATGCTTTTTCATTTTCTGTAAATGTTTCAGAACTACATGTACTGTGCCTCTAATAGATTACATAGACGGGAATGATTATTCCATTGAGCCTCAGCAAGGTGGGGATGAAGATGGCTTTGCCAGAGGGGCCTGGGACTGGAGTTTGCTATGGAAGCGTATTCCGCTAAGCCACAAGGAAAAGGCCAAAAGAAAACATAAAACTGAACCTTATCGGTAAAGATTACGACTTTATTTTCTTACCTTGAATGTTGATCTAAGTACTTTTTTTTTCCTTCCCCATGTGCTCATATAAATGTGTGGGTCCATACATCCCCTTCATTTCATCTTTGCTGCCGTCATCAACACAATACAGAACCATTTGCACTGTGCCGATTATAGATGTCATAAACGGCAACACATATGAAATTGTACCCCAAGGGGGTGGTGACGAAGATGGGTATGCCCGAGGAGCATGGGATTGGAGTATGCTCTGGAAACGGGTGCCTCTGACCCCTCGAGAGAAGAAAATGAGAAAGACAAAATCTGAGCCATATCGGTAATCACTAAATCACTTACCTGTTTTTCTTTCCTCTGGTTGCGGCTATTAACCTATTAACCTCTCGTCAGGCTACAAAATCTGTTATTAAAACTCTACGCGCTGTCTCAGAATCCAGAAGGGCTCCTCTCCTTGAACCGCAGTCCCGTGTCACTAAAGAACAGGATTCATCCCAAAATACGTGCCCTTAGGTGTCGTGGTGTCACACACCTGGACGTGCCACTGAGGTCACTCCTGCACCCCATCCAGGGGTCACCTGGGAGACTCGGTCATGTGGTGCGGGACTGGGCTTCGGAGATTTGAACCCACGTTTGCATCTTTGTCATTTCTTTCCCCCTAAACACAGGCTCCATTTGGGGAAGAGGAGTGTTCTCTGGTGTTAGTTTCAAATACCAAAAAAAAAAAAAAAAAAAAAAGAAAATCTTTGTCATCCTGTCCTAGTAGACTAGACATTAAATGTCATCCTTTTGATGATAATGGCATTCTGTAATTTTAAAATGCTGCAGTGTCTTACAGTCCAAGCTTCATTCCACTTTGATGCCTCCAGTCTATTGTTGACAATGAAAAGCAAGAGATTTTTTGTGTTTTCTTTTGTTTTATATGCTAGCTCTTAAGCATTGCTTTTGTACCTGTTAAGTCTGCTGAATCAAAGTACATGACTCGGGAAATGTACAGATTCCTTTACTTCATTCTCAGAAGAGGGTTTGATTAAAAGGAAATTTTACTCCACAATCAGCTTTTGGCCCTTCTTGTGGCATTTCAAATAGAACAATATAGGCTACTCTTATTCTCTTGGTCTTTTAATTGGGACATTTTATTGTCTTTCAAAAGAGTGACCCCAAGTGAAATATTTGCTCAAATGATTAGTGTAGCTGTCTAAATGTTTCTGATTTTATTTTTCTGATCTTCCGGTTTTGCTTTTTGACTCTCCCCTGTGAAACTTGATAATGTTAGAACCTGTTTGGGGAAGGTATTTCTGCTCGCAGCTTAATATTGGGGGAGACTGGATATGTCACGACATCAAGATACTGAAGAGCAAACGTAAAGAAATTATAAAACTTTAAGCCTTACTTGATATTTTCCAAATTTTCCCTTTGGAATTCTTTTTCAAAATAGTCCAGGAATCTACTATGTTCACTTAACCTGACTAACAAATATTTCTGGAGAAAGAAATAAAATGTAATCATTTGTATTTCTGCCAGTTCTATAGACTAGTAAAGAGATCTTTTTTTAATGAGCTAGAATTGTTTAAGGAAAGTCTCCCTTTAAATAATTCACTGGTTTTCATATTAAGATGCATTTTCAAATATAATTGAAGTGAGGGAAATGGGAATATATTTAAAGGTCAAAATAGAACAATTTCAAGCGACACTTAAGTGAATGTGACATGAAACTATAGCCCGAAATGAAACCATGCTGTTTTAGCGAATTAGGCAGAATAGGAAAGAAAGCCATGCAAAATGACTTTTCCCTGATGTGATTTTCCTTTAATATTGAAAATACTACTTGATTCATAATTTATCCACTCAACAAATATTTAACAAGTGTTACTATGTGCCATGCACTATTTCCTGGGGATAAGTTTTAAAACGATATGTTCCCTGATGACACTTAAGATATAGGAGATTAGACAAATTAAACAGGTAACTACACAGGTTAATCCTAGAACAGCAACTGTGAGATGCGGTAGGAAGAAAAGTTGCAGGGAATTCAGAGCTTATGACAAGGAGGGCTGGGGCAGCCTCCCCGACTAAGTGTCCCTGAAGCGGGCGTCTGAAGTGAAGGGTCAGCCCTGAGGAGGAGCAGGGAGAATATTTCCCAGCAGGAATCGTGTGAGGAAGGGCCTGAGACAGGAGTTTGGCATCTTTGAGGCCCCAGCAGAGCCAGGAAGAACTCGGGATGAGGGAGCCAGCTGAGCACCCCCAGTCTGCTCTGCCGCAGCGTGAGTAAACTGGAAAGGCGGCAGAAGAGAATAAAGAACATGAGCTGGAGAGTTACTCAGCTGGCTGTGCAGCGAGTAGTAGCTTGGTCTAGGATGATGCCAGTGAAATTGAAAAGAAGCAGACAGATTCAAGATAAATTTTCAATAGGAGTTAGTGATAGATTGAATGCCAGGAATGAGGAAGTGGATATTCTATCTCATAGAGGAATCTACGTAAGGGGTCTTGGTGTATTAATAATTAATTGGTGTGGGGCAGAGAGCAGGATGAAAATCATTACCCTGTCACCTCTCCTTGTGATGGGAGTCGCTTGTCCCTAAAAAGTCCCCAGCTCGCCTGCCAGTCAAGAAGCCCACGGATCAGCCTTTTGCATTTCTGCCTCCTGGCACAGTAAATAGCGATGTCAGATTCTCCTGTGCTGTTCTGTGCTACATTTGCAAACTCTGAATGAACTGTGGCTGTTCTGCGATGATTTACACCCTTATTTGGCAAGCCCCTGAGCTATAAAATTAAAAAATGACAGACTACTTCCATGGTGTATGGTTTCACTCATCCCAGAATGACTCATAAATCATTACAGGAGCAGTTAGCAGACCACGACTGTACAGCTCAGTATTTTTAGGAGTGCAAGAGAAAATTCTATTTTAACACGAAAGGCCTAATTTCTAAATCAGCAAAGGGACTAGGGCGCCCTCTACTGACCCCATGATCTAGTGCTCTGATTTGTAGTGAGCTCCATGGATGGTTTTCAGTGAGAAACTGCAGTAATTCTATTAAAGAATTATGAGCACATTGTGGTTTTTTTTTTTTTTTTTTTTGAAGGCTTTATACTTTCTTCATGTTTGGCCATCAGTTTTGTCTCTTCTCCACATTGTTTAGACTGTCTTCCCAAAGGGCTTGTCTGTCGGTGGTGGCCAACGGGGGCTCATCTTTGATACTGACCCAGTTTTCTCTCGCTCAGGTCCCCAGCCATGGCCGGCGGGTTATTTGCCATCGAGCGAGACTTCTTCTTTGAACTGGGTCTCTATGATCCAGGTCTCCAGATTTGGGGTGGTGAAAACTTTGAGATCTCGTACAAGGTAACATTTCATTTAAGCAAATGTTTTCTGAGGCATTGCTGGCTTTCATTATTTTCAGAGAAGGCCGGTTTCTCTGGGGGGAGAGAAACTGATGCATTTTTCAAAACTAACAAAAATGTATATACCTTTTGGGGAAATAAGACAAAATGCAAGCTTCAGCTTACTACATGTTTATGTGGCTCGGCTCAGAAACTGAGGTCAGCTGCTTCAGAAATGAAGATGCCTCCTGCTCCCCAACCACCCCCCCAACCACCCCCCCAACCCCCAGCTCCCCATCACCTGTACCAGTGATGCGGGACAAAGGGAGCCCAGCGGTGCCTCTGCCTTCTGATGGGGGCCCCTCCCGCAACACCCCGGCCCTCCTTTCCTGAGAGAGAGAATGCACCACAGTGTGGGGCAGACAGATGCTCATCGCTTTTGTGGTGAACGCCCCATGCTGGGCGCTGCAGGGACAAAGGAGTTGAGGGGGGCGGGGGACACCCATGGAGGTCGGCGGGGTGGGGGGGAGCCGGGGCAAGGAAGCCACTTAGAGATCGCCCCGGGGATCCCCAGCGGGAGGGACACCAGCGACGGGGTGACGAAGGGTGAGAGGACGGTGCGTCTGTGGGACTCGGGGTGTCGCCTCAGGGCTAGTGGCGCAGAGTTGCTCAGCGCCCCGTTATTACACCTGGAAACCAGCCAGCTGGGCTCCGAGTAGTTTTTGTCTATGACCCCTGTGGGCACTGTATCTTATTTAGATTTTTTTTTTTTTTAAGTAGCTTTTCTTGGTTTCTTTTCTTTTTTTTTTTTTTTAAGATTTATTTATTTATACAAGAACCAGGGTACAGGCCAGGGTGAGAGGATTCACCAGAGACAGAGCAGGAGAGGTCTGCCGCGCCATGTGGGTACCTCCCTGGCCGGCCGGGACCGAACCCGTGCTGCAGAGGCTGTGGACAGCTTCACAGTGCGGCGCTCAACCCGCTGCGCCACCGGGGAGGCCCTTATTTAGATTTTAGATTGACATTTACAAGGCAGATTCTGGGCCATAACCTGCTCTGGCGTCTGAGAGCCCTGGGTCTCTCCCGGCAGATCTGGCAGTGCGGCGGCAAGCTCCTGTTCGTGCCCTGCTCGCGCGTCGGGCACATCTACCGCCTGGAGGGCTGGCAAGGGAACCCGCCCCCCGTTTATGTCGGGTCATCCCCAACTCTGAAGGTGAGTCCTTTGGGTTGAAAGGCGGGGGGAATGGGCTCACTGAAGGAGGGCGCCTCTGACGCCTCACTTGCCCGAGAGACAGCCTGTTGTCTCAGAGTATTCACTGCACCCCATTCGGATTAAGAGCCCCATGTGGGATATTCTCCATGAAGACACCTCAAATAAATGTCAAAGACGGACTCAGCAGGAAAGCAGCTGAAAGGAGAAGACTACCTTCTGTTTTCACACGTGAATGAAATTTGATTTTCGTTCGATCTTTAAAAATAGACCATGTTAGGAATCTCTGTAGTAAATAGGATCAAATTTTGAGCAGTTTTGAACAGTGCTTGCAGAAGGTTAATATCTTTTTGTCCCTCAAATCAGGGATGCTTCACCCCAGAGCTCAGTGCCCCCTGCTGGGAGCAGGCAGTCCTCTGCCCTTGAAGAGCCACTTGGACGTTTCTTTGACTTGCGTTGCCTTCATAACTCTTAGGAGCACGTGACTCTGAGGCCCTTCATTTTCTGGAGCCCTTCACCAAGTCAAAAGCAGAAGGAAGCATGTTACTAGCTGCAGGTGCACCTTGGGACCGCTCCCGAAAGGGGAATAGATAAAGAAGCAGAGACAGCGAGGCTTGAAGAACCAACACAGCTTTCCCCCGGGGCACAGCAGTTAGAGATGGCCAAAGGAACCCCTCACCACAACAGGGGCTGGGATTAAATATGCACCCGAAGACAGAGACCGCCCCGGATTTGCAGTGGGCCTGGCTGCCCTTGCAGGAAAAGACCTGCCTGGGGGTGGGGCCCACATCGCAAAGGATTCATGCAAAGTCAGTTTGATTCAAGGACATGCATGCTGCACGGGGAAGAGACAAGAGGGGAATTCTTAGTCAAAGTTAACTGTAGATCTTGTCAAAAATACCCTATAACTGTGACGCAGAGTACACAGAGTCCCAGCACTCTACTCCAGTGTCAGCCTTGTCCACCTCAGCCACCGGTGCGCCAGGGCCCACGTCTGTGTTTCTGTACCGTTTGTCCTTGCTGGACTTCTGGCCTTGATTGCTAGTTGCCTTCTAGAAGTATCCTCAGCCACATCCCTCAGATATGTCAAGCTCAGTGCAGTCAAGTTGAACTTATTAGCATCTCCTCAAAAGTGATTCCTTTCCCTGTGTTCTGTTTGCCCACGAATGGGATTTAGGGGGCATGTTAGGCTGGTTCAGCTCCCACCCCTCCCACCTTGCCGGTCCTGACCGTCCTGCTTAAATCCGCTCCATTCTGCACCCTGCCACAGGGCCTAGACCTGTCCTGTGGATGTTTTATCTCCTGTGAGGCTCTCTGCCTTCAGATTCAGCCCCTTCAGTCCACCTCCCCACCAGCCTTGTCCCCTGAAAGTGAAATCTGCTGTTACCTGCTTAACACCCTTTGATGACTCCTCTGGAAAGGATAAAACACAAAGTCCTTAAAGAGACTCATGGTAGCTAATACATTTTGAGTGTTTTCTGTATACCAGACACAGACCTAAGTGCTTCTCAGAGATCAGCCTCCTGATCTGCACAACACACTGTCATGTGTGAGTCCCATCGTAATTGAGTCTCATCTCAAGATGAGGAACCTGAGGCAAGTTTCCTCTGGGCGAACCCTGCATTCCTCATGGAGAACCGCTTGCAGGACACAATTTGTCTCTCACCCTGCCCGCTTGTCTTTGCTGTGGACACAGCCCCCCGACTGGCCAGCCCTGTGGCTGAGCTGCCCAGCACTCTTCCAAGGTGCCCCTTGGCCCTCCCCACCTAATTCCATCACCCCGATCACCCCCGTGCGCTTGTGTATGTACGAGCTGAGAAGTTAGGTTTTTGTCAGTTATCACAGTGTCACCTTTTTTATTGTTCTTTAGTTGCTTTTCCTTAAAATACACCAACTGGGGGAAATACCCAGTTAATTTGAGGTTATAATAAAATGGATCTGTGATATTTCTAACAAGATCAACAAGAACGGGTTTGATTAAATGCAGCTGTTGTTTTTCACGATGGTTTCTGAAGTGAGATTTTTCCCTGCACACCCTAGGAATGTGGTTCTAGTGGAGAGACTGTCCTGGGAAGAGGAGCACGGTCAGCCAGCCTCTCCTAGGCCCCTCTCCGGGCTTCCGTGTCTGCCTCTGAAAGCAGAAGAGAATATATTGTCTTAGCGCATCTGATCTTGCAGCTCAGGGTAGTCAGTTTGTGCATCCGTCTCTTGTTAGTCCTCTGTCCTCGGGAATCAACATATTAGAGACATTTGCTCACTTGCATTTGTTTAATTAAATGTCAGGCCCGCTGACGTGAGCTTGTTGTATGTCGGTCATGTTTCGTGTGTCTAAAATAGGCTGTTCATGACTTCACAGATATTTTTATTTTTCATAGTGATATTCATGTTCTCTGTTTGCAGAATTATGTCCGAGTTGTAGAGGTCTGGTGGGATGAATATAAAGACTACTTCTATGCTAGCCGGCCTGAATCCAAGGCCCTAGCATATGGGGATATATCTGAGCTGAAAAAATTTCGAGAAGATCATAACTGCAAAAGTTTCAAATGGTTCATGGAAGAAATCGCTTATGACATCACCTCACACTACCCTCTGCCACCCAAAAATGTGGAATGGGGAGAGGTAAGTATCAGCCGACATTCTGGTCTCAAAGCGTGTGTGTGTGTGTGTGTGTGTGTGTGTGTGTGTGTGTGTGTGTGTGTGTGTGTGTGTGTGGAGCCCGAGTTCGGGGAAGGGCAGAGAGAAATGAGAAGAGAGAGTGAACGAAGGAGAAGAAATCTCGGGCAAAGGTTTGGGTAACAACTGTGTGGCCCCCTCCCCCACCCTTCCGCCTGGACCACTGACCACCTGCTCCCGCTCTCTGGGGCTCTGGGCCCTCGATGATTGGGAGAGATGGAGTGACAGCACCCCGGAGAGAGCACAAGGAGCCCAGATCCTTCCCTAGGGGGCGCCAGCGTCCAGCGTTTGGGCGTCGGAGGCCGCTTAGATGCTCGGTGCTCCTGTGTTAACAGTGTCCCCTGCACCCCTGTTCACTCTGTGTTCCACTAGGGCAATCGGGTTGCACTCCCAACAGGCCATAAGCCCCAGGGCGTCTTTTCACCTCCCCTCCCTCAGTCCAGTGCAGAATCTCTTGGTCGTCTTCTCCCGTCTCGTGGCCTGGAAACCACCCGAGTGCTGACAACTCTGGAATGTCTATCTTCAACCCACATCTCTCTCCCAGAGTCCAGACAGGTGCATCCCCCTGCTCACTGCACGTCTCCACTTCAGCCCCCGCAGGCACTGTGGACTCCACGTAGCCAACGTTGAGCTCCCCCCACGCCAACCTGCCTTTGCCCTTGACCCAGACCAAACCGTTGGTGCCATCTCTGACTCCTCCCTTCTCTCACACTGCACGTCCCGTTCTAGAATCGAGCCTTCCTACTGTGTGGGCTAAGCCGCCACATCTCTCGTGAGCCTGGCGTTCCCTCCTGCAGCCTGTTTTCAACCCAGGAGGCGGCCAGAGTAGCTTTTCACGATGTGAGTGGGGGCCACATCAGTCTCCCGGGGGCAGTGCTAAGTGTAGACATCCCAGCCGGTGGCTGACCACTGCAGGCAGGAACGTTATCCTGTTCGGTTTTCATTCATATGAATGATCTTCAACCTGAAATTGTGCAAATGGTATCTTTTTATTATTTTCATCTGTGCTATTTTATCAAAACCTGTAGGCCAGTGCCCTCAGTTGGGATGAGTCGAATCCAGTGTTGACTTCAAGAGGATACACGATTAAAGCCATGGCTGTGGCAGTGACCTGCCGTCACACGTGTCCAGATTTCCACTCTGCACGGCCATATTTAACATGAAACTCTTTCACTCTGATGCTAGAATTTATTAAAAATGAATCTTGCCTGCTTTTTTTGTGCCTTGTTTTAGATCAGAGGCTATGAAACTGCTTACTGCATCGATAGCATGGGGAGAACCAACGGAGGCTTTGTGGAGCTCGGGCCCTGTCACAGGATGGGAGGGAACCAGGTGAGCAGCCAGTCTTCCGTGCTGGGCTCAGCCGCCTCGAGCCTCTGAGCTGGGCTCAGACCGCTCGGCTTGGTCTGACTTTTATTTATTTATTTTTTTTTTAAGATTTCTTTCTTTATGCACACAAGAGCTGGGATACAGGCCAGCGATGCGGGGGGTGAGAGGATCCACCAGAGACAGAGTGGGGAATAGAACAGGCAGACTGACTGAAATACACTGCTGAGGGGAACAGCAGGCGAGCCAGGAGAGGTCTGCTGTGCCATGTGGGTTGCTCCCTGGCTGGCCGTGGATCGAACTCATGCTGCAGAGGCTGCAGACAGCTTCACAGTGTGGTGCTTAACCCCTTGTGCCACCAAGGAAGACCCTTGGTCTGGCTTTTAATTGGTAATTTTGTTCATTTTGATAAAGTAAGAAGTTGACAATGAGAAAACATGTACTTAAATGAGGCGATAACAGTACTGGTTTTCTCATAAGTATTCTGAATCTATAATTTATGTCTAACATTAAGAGATTAGTATATTCTGACAATTTTACCTGAGAGTATTGTGGAACATTTAAGGTTTTCTCCTCAATAAACTGGGACATTAGTGAAATATACTTCACTAATAGATTTTCTTCCACATGTATCTTTCTTATCTCTAATATAGATTGTGGAGCGTTATTGGGTCACTTTCTCACGTTATTGGTACCTAATACGCATTGATGACCCATTCTAGAGGATACAGAACATAGCCGTTTGGGTGTTCATAGAACTCTTCATTAACTTCAAAATGATTATAATTCCTGTCTTTGGACTTAAAGTTCTGAACATGCCGAAAACTTATAGACATATAAGGTAGTCACTGAGTTTAATTACAGGAGTTAAGTTTCGTTGGTTTTTTTTTTTTTTCCTTAATGCAGATGAACAGAGTAAAAGTATTGTTATTTTCTTATTTCTTTTCTTTTTAATAGCTTTTCCGAATCAACGAAGCTAATCAGCTCATGCAGTACGACCAGTGTCTGACAAAGGGTTCTGATGGATCCAAAGTCATGATCACACACTGTAATCTAAATGAGTTTAAGGAATGGCAGTACTTCAAGGTATTCTGTATTACAACTGCTGAAGTAATATTACGTGCTCTTTCTTTGCAATGACACCTACCATGTGGAATTTAGATATCTAAGTCTTAAAACCTGTATTCAAACTGACCTGCACTTCCCGCTCACTAAGTCCTTTGTTTTCCCGAGCGCTGAGGGACTCCTTGGCCCATAGGAAGTATCACTTTCACTCCCTGACAAAATACTGTCTTGTCAGGTCACAAGGTGCATCAGTGCCCACTGCTCATTTCAGTGACACAGGAAAATCCATGAGGCGGTCATCAGCTTTGTTCTGATATCAAAATACTATTTTCTTTAAATCTATGAGTCATTCATTAAAGATATGTACATGTGTATGTACTTGTGGGTCTACATCATGAAAGATATTGCATGTATATTTCCTATTGTCCAGCAGGTGGCGCTAGAGGCAAACACATAGCACTGGAACGCCAGGTATTCCCAGCAGCAGGTTATTAAGACCAAGCAGGATCAGTGTTGCCTGTGCTGGCCTGAAGGGCGTATTTAGTTACTCACTTGACACTGCAGGTGGTGGTTGTTGTTGTTGTTGTTGTTTTTAATTCTCAGCTGTGAGTATTCAAAGTTCTATGCTAGATTGAGGTGCTAGATTGAGGATTCTAACAGATTAATCTATTTATGTGTAATTTTTAAAGTCCAGACCTGGCTAAAATAAATCAATTTATTATGGAACTCCTAGTTGGGCAAGCTGCCCCGTGCTGAAAGCCCTGGTCGCCCTCAGCTTCACTTGCCGCTGTGATCCTCGTTCTCCTGCCTCCCTCAACAAGCACGTGTTTGCTCTGAGCAGCGGATACTAGGCCCAGCTGAATATTCCCTGTTCTCATCACTCATGGTTCTTTACTCTGAAGGGGGAAGTATGTGCTAGTTGCTGATTTTTTTTTCTTATAATAATTTAAGAAGGAGCTTAACATAAACCCTGAAGAACAGAGGTTTTATTTCAACACCAACAAAAAGATGAGTAATAGTAATAAATCATAGGGTCAGTGAGAACAATAGTAAACATCATCTGCCCAGGATGCAGTGCAGGGATGGATGATTACATGGAAGTTTCTGTCCTCCTTACACAGTCTCATCCCTGAACATGCCTTCAGTTTCACTCTCCTCATCCGGGCCCCTGCCCTCTCAGCCTTCCGGCCCCTTCTGGTGTGGACTTTAAAGATTATGCATAAAGAAAACTCCAGAATCTATCATCAAGTATAGATAAGAAAATGGAATATATGTATTGTAGATATTCTGAAGGACACAACACTTCGTAGACATTTGTGTACCCAACGTTACTAAATATTTTCTGTGAGGGGCCCTGTGAGGTGGTAGACTTGGGGAAAAAAATAGTTTAATGTAAAGGCAGGACTGGACACGGTGCAGGTTTTCTGATCTAGCAGACCGGGTAAAGGAGGAGTCAGAGTCCTCAGTGGTTTTTTGCAGGTCTTTTGTTGGGATTTAACGGGTACACGGCAGGCAGTGGGGCTGGGAGGCTGGCAGGCCTGCCAGCAGGTCTTCACTCTGGGCTCCCCGGCCATCTCTCGGCTTCTGCTTCTCTTGCTTCTCTCTCGGCTTCTCTTTTAGCTTCTCCTCGCGTCCCCATGACGCTGCCCTTAGAAGCACAGTCTCAGCCCAGGTGAATCCCATCTACCTATGCCCACACCCCACTCCAGGTGCCTGCCATCAGGCATGCATTCAGGACCACAAGGATCCATCATCTATCCTGATGGCGGGAGGGCAGAAAAGCCTGACATTTTTCCTTACCCTACACTAAAGCACATCCTACTATTATGGCAAAGGAAAGAAATGCAAAATCAAAAATAAACAAATTGCTCTCCAGCAACAAAAGAAACTCATGAGAGAAATTATTCCCCATTAAGTTACATAAAAGAAGTAAGGACGCACCGGCCTCGGAAAGCTTTTCATGAGGATAAATCAGAAAACAGGGTGAACAAGACCATGGTATAAAAGTGTGTAGAAAATTATAGGAATCACTGGTACTTTGGCAGCCATAAGTCGTACTCCCCATGGAAGAACATTCACCTTCACTTTCTGCATTTTGGAGAAGCGCTGATGTGATTGAGGAATGCAGCAAGAGGGAATAGCGGATTCGTTTAGGGGAAGAATTCTGGTAACACTGTGGAAATGGACTGAGATGCAAGGACATCAGCTCAACCTGAAAATCTGTTCTCAAACTTTCAGCCTCCAGGTTCCCTTTAAACTCTTAAATGTCAGAGACTCCCCCTGGACAGATTTTGGTTTTTTCCTGAATTGGCAATTAAATCTGAGAAATCTTCTAATTATTTACGTATTAATTCATGTAAAAAAAATAATAACCCTATTCCATGTTAATATAAGTAAAATTTTTTATTGCTACTTATATTAAAATGAAAAGAATCTCATTTTATAGCTTTGCAAATCACCTTAATGACTGGTTTAATAGAAGGCAGCTGGTTTCTTATCCCACTCAGCACTCATTTTGATGCAGTGTGTTGTTTTAGTAGAAGTATATGAGGGGAAAAAAATTCAGCCTCCCATAAATATGCAGTTAAAAAAGAGAGGCTGGTTTTAATAGCCTTTTCAGATAACAGTGGCAGTTCTTTGATGCTACACCAGAACTCGAAAAGTAGTCCTTTCTTAAGATTTGCAATGTAGAACTGAGGCCCTATCAGCAAACATTTCGTCCTTTGGTCCACTAAAATCCATTGGTCTGCCTTACCCTGTGGAGATCTTTTACCCATGTGAGCTCTGGTAACATTATTATTGTTTCTTTGGAAAACACTGACTCACTGAGTTATATAGGTCTTTTACATATTTCATTCACAGTACCAAAAAATCCACAAATACAACCACTGATTTCATCAGAAAAGTCTTTCAATATTGTGAAACTATGAAGTTCCTGGTGATGGCTACAAATTTCCCAAAACTTTTAATTTTTCCATAAAAACACAAATTTTACCAATGGTAACAAATACTGTCAGATCCGTGGTGGTGGTTTTTTTTTTTTTGTTTTTTTGGGTTTTTTGGGGTTTTTTCTTCAAGTGACATGCTCACCTCATTTTCAAGCAGATGCATTCCCCAGTCTCAGGCTTGGATAATCACAGTTTGTCTCTGAGTCGTCCTTTCAAGTCAAAGTGGGAACCATGAAAAAGAGTAACTCTTTCAACTCTCAAGTTAAACAACCAGACCTGCTTTCCCTGAATAACGGAGACTTCCCTGGGCAGATTATTCACTGTGCGGAAGAGCTTTGGGGTTGCCTTCCAGTTCATCTCGTAGAGTATTTTTTAAAAGTTTGCTGAAGCATCATGATTCAGTACAATTAATGCATTTTACTGCTTCATCAAGGACATGCTTCGTTGACACTGGTATTTCCTTTTTCTACCAAAGAAGGAGACTATTAGCTCAGCTTTATGTCACCATTTGAGTTAGGCTGAGCCCCCTGCTCGTTTGCCCTTCGTTGCTTTGACACCAACAGTGTTCGTGTCGGGGCACAGTGAAAAGGGCAAGTGGGGTCTTTGGATTATTAGGAAAATAGCCCTGATCTTATGGGTCCCATCTCAGGCATTCTGAGGACCACATTTTGAGAAGCCCTGAGCTCTGCTGGAGAAAACTACACCCGCTGATGAGGGCTGTGCCCGCAGGCACGGGAAAGAACACACAGCAGAGACCTGCAAATACCAGCCCTGGGTGGCTACAACAGACCAGGAAGGGAGGGGAGCTCCTGAAAAGCTAATGTCCTGAAGGCAGGAAGCTGATATTGTGCTTTGAAAAGTAGATCTGGAGGGTAAGATAGTGAATGGCAATTTGTTTACATTGAATTTGAGAGACCAACAGCGGGTTATTTCAGGTACCAAATGGTAAGTGCATTTTATGTAACAATAAAAGGACATAGGAAATTGATGATTGAGACACCAATGCCTGAGGTTTAAGCCTGTCCTCTTTGAGGAAAACCAGGTAATGACTTCTTCCAGCACCACTGAGAGCAAGTAACATCTTTCAGCTTCTCTTTCTGTGTTTTCCAGAACCTGCACAGATTTACCCACATTCCTTCAGGGATGTGCTTAGATCGCTCAGATGTCCTGCACCAAGTGTTCATCTCCAATTGCGACTCCAGTAAAGCGACTCAAAAGTGGGAAATGAATAACATCCACAGTATTTAGGGAAAATAAAGGAAACCAATAACCTACCTACTGACACAAAGTTATACAGGACTGAAAGGCGCCTGAAACCTGCTGCAGCAATTATAATAATTCTGTACAGCTCCGAACCCAGACCTCCTGATCAGTTTGAAGGACATTGATAAACTGTGATTTTACAATAACATTATCATCTGCAGTTACTGTTTACAAAACTGCTTTTACCTTAAACTTTGTAGATGTTTACATCGTTTTTTGTTTTGTTTTAAGATGATGTTGGTCATTTGTGCATTTAGCTCTGTTTTACTTCCAACAGAGCTGAAGGCGTTGTTGTCTTCTTTGGGATTACACTCAGGGTCTGAAGGCAGTTTGAGTCTTTTTTTTTTTTTAAACACACTTGAAAAAGGTTGGGGTAACCAGACTTTCATTTCTAACTTGGTGGCTATCAACCTGTTGTGTCTTTATTTAATTTTACATCTTTTTGAAGCACTGCCACAGGTTATCAGCCAGGGTGGCCTTCCTTCACAGTCATGCTGCTTTTTTGAAAGGTGAATTTCAACACATTTAGTGCCTCTTTCATTTCTCAGTATATATTTCAAGAGCTTTTGATGAATCTTATAGGATGGTAATGATGGAATTGTCACCTGTATGAGGAAGAATGTGTCCACTACTCAGAAATGAATTTATGTGCTACCATTTTGTTCTGAAATTGAATGTTGTATAGCTTGAAAAAGAAATGACAATATGGACCATCCCAAGGCTATTCCACAGGGTGTGAAGACTGTATGGCATTAACTTCCCTACTGGCTGGCATTCACGATGCCCTCGGTAGATGCCAGCACCACAAATAGCAAAGGGGTCTACGACTAGAGAAAAATTGTCCACTGACACTTGAGATTTATTTTTTTCCCCAGTACATTATAGAAAACAGTAAATCTCAGTTTTGAACTCTTGAAATGGTAGTAACAAAAACAAACTACCCCTGTAAACACATCAAAATTCTTTGGGACCAGGTAAGAATTTCCAGCCCCTCACTTGAGTGAGCCTTACAGAACTGTTTGGCATAACCTCAGCTGCACAACTGGGAAGCCAAGAATGAATTGATGTTTCATTTCTATTTTCACCCAACTGAAATTTCCTGCACATTTTAAACTTCTTTTTAAAAAGACTATTTAAGAATAGTTAGCAAACATGAACTACTTTCTGTTGGATTGTGTGTTAGTTTCCTAATGTTTCTTAGGTTTTAATTTTTTCTTAGGAAGCCTATTTCTATTAATTTTTTTTTTCAATGAAAAGACTTGTTTGTATTTAAACATTTACTTGGACAGTACCTCCCCTAGGAAAACCAAATACTGTGTCAGATTTTAATTTCTGAGTGAAGTCTTTGACTATCCAAAAAGATTAAAATGCTGAGCGCAAAAAAAAAAAAAAGTGTAATAAAGTGGGGACTGACAAGTTAATTAAGCATATTTGATCCTGTAATCATGATATCATTACAATGAAAGGATCCACAAACTACTGCCAGAGGGAAATATTTTTAAAGTTTAAAAAAAAAAAAGACTACATTAGTTTAAAAAGTTTAAAATTTTTTTAGTTTAAAAAGAAAGGCCTACACATTTGTTTCTCCCAAGCCTAGCTCTTAAATTTAGAGAGTCAACGTTAAACATTTTAAACAGTTTTATTTATAATTTTGAATTGTCAATTACTATTTTGCTACCGATCTGTGTTCAACCATTTTAACTTTCATTCATCTCTAGGGATATTTAAAAAGGAAACATTTACATGCCTCTATAACTACAAAATAAATCAGCTATAAAAAGAGAATTGGTACTTCAGTCACGTGTGTGTTTGCAGTATGCTCCTCCATTTTCCTTGTTGAGTAGATTATAACCTTGTTACCTATGCATAGTCCTAAGGAAGGTGGCACACAAACTGTGCATGTAAATTTTAAATGGGTATTTGGTGCAATTCGTTAAAATACTCTATGATAATGATTCTATATAATTGAAATCAGAAACCTTACCAAACATGAAAAGCATCAGAAGCTGCCGCCATATGACTATTTTCTACTGTAGGCTGCTTTGGAAATAATTCCCATATCCTTGCTTTGTAAGTTGATAAAATATCACTATGCATTTCTACACATTTTATAAATTTGATTTATGCAGATTTTGATACACTGTATGTTTCTGTAGAAATTGTATAAATACTCGAAATTTTATTAGGGATAAATTTGAGAAGTTTATGTATATCTTAATTCTGGGTTGCTTGTTTTTTAGGTGAAAAAAATAAAATACTGTATTTTAATCCATGGCTTTTTTTTCAGTACTTGTAATCATTTCTAAATCTAATGTCTTACTTTACATTTGAAATAATTACTTGATTTTATTGTTTTCAAGAGACACTAAAAGAATAGCTAAAACATCATAAACAATAGTTGTAAATTGAGTGTATAATTAAGTTTTGGTTAGCTGGGATGGAGGACATCTTAATTTTCTTCTTTTTTTTTCCCAATGGCTTAAATAAGATAGAGATTCAATTTTCCCTCTTGTCATAAGAAGCCTGGGGGCCAGAGCCAGTGTCGTTATTCAAAGATTCAGAGCAAAGAAATGTGCAATCTCCTTTGATTTCCATTCATGATGAGTCACAGAATGGCTGCTGAGGTCCAGCAACGCACCCCAACTTCAATCAGGAAAAAGAAGGGCAAGCAAAAGGGCAGAGGCCAGCTAATCATGAAAGCAAAGCTTTCTCAGAAATCCTCACCTTTGTCTTTCAGGCAGAACTGTGTCACATGGCCAGCTCTAGCAGCAAAGGAGGCTGGGAAATGTAGTTTTAATCCTGGGAGCATTGCTATCACTTCTCTTGTCCTCACCATTCCAAAGACCACATTTCTCTTTAAGAAAAAGCAAAGCATGGATGTTGGGTAGACAACAAGCAGTGTTTGCCATGTCGACTATTACAAGCCTGAACTCTGAGAAAGAACCAAGCTGGAACTCCTGGGACTTAAGCCTGGCATGTCTGGAGAACTTCTAGACAATGTGTCTTCAGAGTTAACACGCAGTTACTCTGCCTGGGTCTCTTCTGAGTGTTGAGTGCCAGAAAACCCTGGTTGACAGACAGACGGCATGCTTGCTTCTGGCCTGACCTATCGGTCTCTGCAAACCAAGCACCATTGTAGCATCACATTTTGAGGATTGGCTGTCATACTGAGCTTCGCCCCTTCATACTGCGTCGTGCCTGTCTTTACCAGGGCGTGCGTGTGTTTCTATCTGCCTGGGAGGTGTCCTGCACTCTCCCATCCACATCCCTTCAGAAACGGGGGTCTTGGTTAAAAACTGATTGACCCACCTGACTAGGACTGACCAATAAATTGGGGCGGGAGGAAACGGCAGGAACCAAAACCAAGCCAAGACTTAGGAAGGAAGGAAGGAGGAATGGATTTGAGATGGGCGGCCAACAGCTCTGCATCCAGCGTGAACAGCATTTCTAAGGACCTCACACAACCCTGGTTCTAGCAGCACAGCAACTTCAAACTTAGTGCCTGCTGCTAAGTGCAAACATGCTGGGTTCTATTCAAGCCTCAGCTGCTCACGTAAAGACCTGAAACTTTTAAGACCATGAGCCCTTAAGAGCAAGCAACGGTCAGTTTCTCTTGCCCAAAGCGCTGAGGTGATTATGCTTGCTAGGCAGACCCTCTCTTTTGTCCCGGGGCCTGCCTTTTCCTACTCGTCTGTTACAATGTGCTTTCCTGAATGGTGGGAGAGTGTGGTAGACTTGTGTGTTTGAATCCCTGTTCCACTACAAGTTACCTTCGACACTTTGGACATGTTATTTAATCTTTATTCCTCAGCTTCCTCATTAATAAAATGGGGGAAAATAACAGTGCCCATTTCACAGTTATTCGTAGGATCAAATGAATTTACATATCAAAGTCTTACAATAACAGTTCCTGGCACAGAGGATAATGGAAATATTAGTTATCATCTGGTTTCAAACCCTTAAGATCTGTCTCTACGAAGAACAGCTACACTGCAGACCCGCTGTAAACACTGCATGAGCGTGTGCCTGTGTTTCATATGTGAGAGGTCATGACCGCTACGTTGCAAGAGAATGAAGCTCAGAAGCTAAACTTAAACTAGGCGGAGGTGTGAGATGGTTATTCAGGAAGCATTACCTTCACCCCACGCCATTCCTACAGCACATGTAAAATGTGGCGTTCAGTGGTCTGATTTAATCCTCGGATGGACTAAGTACCTCTTGAAAATTGTGTATTTTTACACTATCTCTAAAATTTCTCTTGGGCTTTTGAGAAAACAACTCCAGCCACTGTGCTGATGATTAAATGTTGCAAACAAAACTAAAAGTTCTAGATAATAGAGATGACCAGATTTCCACTCTGACCATGACATAGTAAATAATATATCCTGCTCTCCTAAACTATATAACTGGACAACAAAACTATATAATTGGAGCAGCTTTGCAGGAATTGAATAGCAGGCGGCGATACTTGGGAAAAGCATATAAGGTGAACCCCAGGTTCACTATGTCTGCCTGCCTGGGAGAACTTCCCCAACTATGGTGCAGGAAAGCAGAACTACTCTAGGGTAAATGATTGTCAGGCTTTTCTGCCCTCCTGCCATTAGGATTAATGACGGATCCCTGAGGTCCTGAATGCAAGCCCGATGGGGGGCACCTGGAGTAGGGTGTGGGCATACATAGGTGGGTTCACCTGGGCTGAGATGGGGCTTATAAGGGCAGCATTGTGCAATGGAATTACCAGAAGAGAGTGGGCGAGACCGCAAGAGAATACCGGAAAGCCCAGGAAGAGTAGAGATTGGCCAGGGGCTGGGAGGCCTGCCAGCCTGCCGACCCCTCCTCTTCCCCCACCCCACCCCCTACCCCAGTACCCCTGCCTGCCGAGTACCTGGTAAACTCAATAAAAGCCTGAAAAAGCCACCGAGGGCTCCAGGACCCTCCTTTACCCGTCTGCTTGGATCACAGAGATCCTGCTCTGGGCCATCCCTGCC